ATATTACAAGCAATTATTATTTATTATTTTATGCAAAATATCAGAAATAATTATAATTTAATTTAAATTAATAATAAACAATTATATATAATAAATAATTTTCTAAATTATTATTACAAAATAATACTTTTTAAAATATCTATCTTATAGATCATATCATAAACAATACTATTATTTACTTATTTGCATCTCTGTTAAAAAAATAATGAGGAACGAATCATTTGCCTCGTTAAATCTGTTTGACTTTTGCCAGCACATGTTCTCGTTATGAACGATTGTCTTATTCGTAGTATCATCATTATGTCGATGTTTTCTTTTCTAAAATTGTAACTGCCGCTTGAATAGTTAATGTTCGAAGAAATTTTACGGTTGACTTAATAGTCGCGGCAATTCGCGCGAACGTTTGCACACGAACCAAGTTTCGCACGAACCAACGAGTCATTGCATTATCATCACGACATTTCGGGACCCCAATATTTCATCGTCGGTAGCATGCACGTAGCGCGCGATAACTGGACGAGGTAAAAGTTTCAGCTCTGGAAAAGTATCCAAGTGTCAAATAAATCTTGCATCGATCAAGCGACCGAACAAACTGCATTTCACATGCAGCTAATTAATCGTGCAGGAGAAAAAGAAGAGAAAGAGACGAATGTTTGTTACAATTTATATTACCTATATTACCGATAACTAATTTGTACAAAAAGTTGTAAATTAAACAAGAAATTAATGATGTTACATTAGGTAAGAAAAGATATATATGATATTTATTTCATTGTATTTTTAATAAAATTAAATAATAACATTATAAGAATCTCTGAAGAAATGCCACTTCTGATTTGATTTTTCCACAGTTTGTGTCAACGATATGCATAATATTATACATATATTAAGACTACAGTACAGATTTTTACATAACGTTAAATTAACGAATAAGACATAAGACATAAAAGAATCATATAGTAATAAATCATAAAATAAAGGACTCTGATTAATTGATTTTCTGATACCTTATGCATTATGCTGCAATCTTCATAGTTTCTACAAAAATTCGACCAATCACAGTCGAATATAAGAAGAATAATCGACTGTGATGAATTTCTTACGACTTAAGACTTTTAAAACTTAGGTAATGGCTTATTGTACAAAAGTCCATTATTTCAAAAGGAATAAAAAAAATATAGATATACCCCTGGTGGGACTCGAACCCACAATCCCCGGTTTAGGAGACCGATGCCTTATCCATTAGGCCACAGGGGCGGTCGGTGGAAACGTCTCTAAATCATATAAATCTGTCCGTTCAATAATTCAATATTTATTTTTTTTTAATTTTATAATACAAGACTAACAAAATGTAATCGATCGAATGCATAGTATTTTTGAGTTAAAATTACCATTTTTATTAACAGATCTATGCAGATACGAGGCGTATCCGTCTCGAGACTATAGCTTCGTCGAGCCGGATGTTTTATCGAGTTCTTTGCCGACGGATTCCTCGTCCTCATCATTAACATCTCCACCATTATCAGCAACGTTCTCACTCCCAGGAACTCTGCTTCAACCACCCTTTCTAACAGCAATGCCACCCTTGATGCAATCGCTGAGCGTGCCTCAAACTCTCTCAACTTCCTCCACAGGTAAACTGAAATTTCTTTGATTTTCATTTTTTAATATTTAATTCTTATATGCAATCTTTCGATCACACTTTTAATACTATCTGTATGGAGGCGCTGTATACTTAAGCATTGGTTGATATGCCACAAACAAGTGCCTCGGTAGCGCAGTAGGCAGCGCGTAAGTCTCATAATCTTAAGGTCGTGAGTTCGATCCTCACCCGGGGCATATTTTTTTTCTTTTTTTTTCTTTTTTTTTATACAAATGCACTAGTCGCGTGCGTTACGTTTTTGATAACATACGAAAAAATAGTACACATATTTTATTATCGATGACCAAAACAGGTGCTATGAGTCGTCACTTCGTTACTACAAATGGCATAGCCGCTCTTCACAGAAGACCTAGAAGCGAGAAAAAACCAATCCCGGATGATCAGAAGGATGAAAAATATTACGAGAGACGTAAACGAAATAATCAGGCGGCGAAAAAATCACGAGACGCCCGCAAAATCAGGGAAGACCACGTAAGAACGCACAATCGATTTTGAGACTCGACTTCAATCTAATTGTGATTATAATACATATATAATTCTATCGACAGAAATGTTCGTGTTACAATTTCGAGCTACGTAGTTCAATTTTCCTTTTTTCATAAGTTAAACAAAAAAAATATAATGGTATAATTAACTGTTAACTGGTTATAATAAAATACTTGACAATTAAATAATCACCGATTCTTTTATTCTCAAATTTTCGCACGATGTAAACTAAATTCAACATTGACAAGAAGTAGAGGATCAATAATCATCATAACATTAAGATGACATCATCGAAATGGCTTTAAAATGGTTAATATCAGCATTTATCAATAATAGTTTAATTTTAATCTTGTTATAATTCAACTAAATCTTTATCTTTTTCCAATGCCCATTTCTACTATTGTAGATAAACTTTAATCTTGGTTTAATTTACTTTTTATGTTTTTTAATTCTAAGAATTAGAAAAGGATATAGAGTAAATTAAATCGAGATTAAAATTAATCTACATTGGTATACAGAAACGAGCATAAAAATCACTTTTCAATTAGTCACGATTCATTTTAATGTCATTTATTTGATGTTATCGTAATTTAAGTTATTCTGCTTGGAAGTTTTAATTCGTATATCTATATTTTCACAGATTGCATTAAGGGCGACGATGTTGGAGCACGAGAATGCAATCTTAAAGGCACAGATAGTGACTCTTCGAGAGGAGGCACAATCGTTGCGGCACATGTTGATCAAGCAACATACCCCAGCGATACAATCGATCGAACGATCACTTTCGTCGATGACACCTGTGACGCTCTCTCCTCCGCACACCGCAAGTCTAGATTGTTAATTCCTGGAGATTTCTTCGAAAAACGTGTACGAATATGCTTAAATATAGAAAACTCAAACCCATGCAATTTACACAGACACGTTCACATAGTACAGCAAAAAATTGCACAAAAGTTACAGCAACACTGCTGCAACATTACATGTTGCAGCAATGTTGCAGAGATTTTACAGCAATATTGCTGCAAATTCTGTGCTGTATGGGAAAAAATACGCGCGAAAATAATCTTTATTACGTCTTTATTCGTAACGATCGATTTTTATAAAGTAAAATAATTCGGAAAGTATCCCGTATTGTTAAATATATTTCTCTTTCTCTATGTTATGCAAATAACAGAAGAATCCGAAGAAATTTAATTCAGAGATTTTATTATTTATTATTGTTGGAATTATAATCAATTTTAAGTGTATTATATATAACTGTTGCTTAAATGCTAATAAACAGAGATGGTTCAAGATATATAAATGGAAACTGATTGTTTTTTTTATATTTAAATTTTTATATTTAAATTAATCGTCCCAAAAGTTAAAGTCAATTATTAATATCTCGCGAAAAAAGAACAATTCTCCATGAAATTGATGTCGATTACTCGATTAGAAAAATTCACTATTGAGACATCTAGCGGCATATCGCTAAAAAATAAAACACTTTGAAATTTGTAACCAACAATTGGTATATGCTTAAAAGATAACTGTAAAGAAATTATAATCCTTTTTATATATATGTTCATATACTTAAAAAAAAATTGAAATTACATTTAAAAAATAAAGAGATGGAAAAGTTGGATAAAAATATTTAAATAAGGTATATCTATGATATGTGTGTGCATTTTTGCAAAGTAGATACGCTGTTTGTGAAGTATTTTTCAAAGTGTCTCATTTAATTACAACATTCCAATTAATCCTAATTCAAGTTCTTTCTGTATAAACTCTTTTACTTTTTTTTTTAAGAAAAATTACCGAGACAATAAGGACATGATAAATAATGTGTGGCAGTGATTTATAATTTATATATATGTATGTATACATAATACATATATACATATACGCATATGCACACGTACACATGTATATGTTGATATTGATTCTTTTTGTGTGTGTGTGTGTGTGTGTGTGTGTATAGGGAATTTATATACACTAAAAAGAATTAGATTGTCGCCCCACATGCCTATATCTTATTTACCGTATAAAAAGTACTTTAATTACAATACAATAAGAAACACTGCGACGTACATTTGTTGAATTATGTATATATAAACTTTCTCGGTGTGCGTCTCTATGCTAATTTAACTATTTATACGAATACAGGCTACTCCTACAAGGAGAATGTAAATATAGAGACACATAAAGATGATACATAGACGTTCTAAGTAGATCGAAACGCGCAACTATTTTTATTTAAAGAAAAAAAAACAGAAAAAAAGGAAAAGAGAACAATACGTCCATCTATCTCTATTATCACGCACATCTACGTGTGTGTATTCGCGTCGAGTGACGCAGTCTCTAATTTTCACCGATGCGAGACTTTGCAAAGCTGGAAACACAGCGTATATCTTCTCGTGACACTTTTTAACGACACTGTCGCGTTTAATTTTACAATCGTACTTATTCCTAAAGTGTCGGCGAGATCAAATTTTTACAAATGCCGTTGACCTCGTCTAGAACGATGCTTTGAACATCTCGCGAAAAAAATTTATCGTTCGCAAAGGAAACTTACATCTCTAATTACAATTAACGATATACATATACAATGACACCTGATCGTTATACGACCATGCCGTCATCGTTCAGAGTTCCTACTCCGTTCCTTCACTCTAATACGCTAACATTTAAATATTCATCTACGAAGGCATTACATACTTGTTTTTCTGTAAAAACCCAGAATCGATGACGACAACAATGTCGACAAAGACACGAATCATTCGCAATGCAATTGCGTTCTAGACCGCAATTTCGATTCATTGAAAATGGCAGTAATCGTGGATGGTAACGCAGGATTATTCAAATCATTATACAAATCAATTGGCTGCTATTACAGCAGCCGCCGCCGCCGTCGCCGCCGCCGCCGCCACTGCTGCTGCTGCTGACGACGACGACGTTGACGAGGATGACGACGAGGACGACGATGATTTCTTCTTCAGCACGATGTCCTTGATATTGAGATTGACCTTCTCCTTGTGCAGTGGCGGTACTGATTGCAGACAGAATCGCTTGAAGGCCTCCAGCTCGCGCTCATCATCGTCCATCTCCTCGTCGTTCTCGAGGTCTATATCTTTGGGCGTGAATACCTCTGTAAAAGACACGCTCTAAATACTGGATACACCGACAGCCCGCCTGCGAGTGCGACAATAATTGGCAAAATCTGCTGTGCATTACTTCTCTTTCTCTTGTCTACTGTGTGGGTAGAAGTATAAAGAGATGAGAAAAAAGAGCGACAACAATGTCAACGTGTGTTTAACGTCTTGGATATCGTCCAGACAATGTCGAGGCACTCGTCACGCACATTCATGGAGCAATAAAATCAACGAAATATCCATGTCGGATTTGCGAACACTTCTCGATGACGACAACTCACGTGAGCAACAGTACTCTATTAAATCGTTATGCTTCATTATCAGTACAGTTGTTAATATTCGTTTTATTTTTCCTAATTTTCATCATCGTTATCATTAATAAGATATTACTCAAAAATGTTTTAAGAAAACTGTCCTGAGAGTCTTCTCTTTTCTTATAAGACAGTGAACTTTAACATAATATCATAGAAAGAAAAAAAGAAGAAAAAGAAATAAAGGAAAGATAATGAGTGTGACTACCCATACTTATGTAACATTTTAGGAAACGTCTAATCCGATAAAGGGGAAAAGAGAGTATAACATTGAAAAAAAGTAGCTCGCTCTTTTATTTAATATTATCAATAGATTTAAAAAACATCATATACTATATCACATTCGTGTAGCTATCATCACAATGAGACGACCCCTATATTGTCAATATAAATCTAATCGAGTAATTTGTCCATTAATTTTCGTCGATCGATCGCGTTTAAAACTGAGACTGAAAAAG